AGGGAAGGGGAAGGGAAGGGGAAGGAGAGGGAGCCCCCCGCGGCGGGAGCGCGCGGCTCCGCGGCCTCCTGCGCGTTCCGAGCGCCCAGGCCCTTCCCCCGGCGCTGCTCGCGCTCTCCTCCCCTTCTCCGGGCTTAGCCCCTTTTTTTGTTCCTCTGAAAGCGGTATCGAAGTGGTTATGCAACGCTTCGCTGCCTGGCAGCCCCGGGTTCTCTCCCCCTCCTCAACCCGTAGTGCTGGTGCTTCCGCCTCGATGTTGCCCCGGGAGAGGCGGGGGATGCCCTAAGGCCGCGCTCAGCACCCGGCTCTGCTGCCACCGGCGCTCCTAGCGGCAGTGTTTTCCCTCTTCCTCTGCAGGGAGGGACGCGAGCACAGATACCGCTTTCCTAAGGTAACACTAGTTTTAAGTGTAAGATTACAGTGAGCTGGGGCTTAACGCTTCCAGCCTTTAAGTGCCGAAGGAACAGACCGAGTTTAATGTGATTCGGTTATAAAGAACACTCAACTGATGACCTGTGGGAATATTTCCTTATAGGCTTGGCTCTGCAGGCTTAGCACTAAAGTCTGCTTGGCACCACCTTTTGGGAGAGGTCTGCAAAAGGGGCTCTGGACAAGGCCATGGATAAAGGCAGCCGCTCGCCCACCCTGTTCTTTTGGTGCATGGGAGCGTTTGCAGTCGCAAACCCAGCGAGTTAATGGTGTTCATCATCACCTTGGGAGACAGCGAGAGCCACCTGTGCCATCCAGCCATCTGTGCCATCCAGCCCCTGCTGCTGTGCTCCCACAGAAGGCCGTGGATGAGAAAACAGAAGAGTTCAAGCTGGTCTACAGGTTTCCGGGGATTAGGTACTGCCGGGTCCTGTCCAGGCTGAAGCTGTTACAGACTGCCACCACCATGGCCATCCTGCCGCCCATCTGCTACCTCTATCTGCAACAACAGGTTTCTCTGAGTATCTTCTTATACACAACCGGCATTGCTGTCTTTGCTGGTGCAATGCTGTATGGTATGAGCTACTTTTTCAGACGAATTATCGGATTAATCTACTTAAATAAAACTGGCCGTACTGTCAAAGTGGCCCACTTGACATTTTGGGGAAGACGGAATGACATTTACTGCCCCACCGAGTCAGTGGTGACTTTGGATGAAGTTGGAGATAGCAAGAGGGAGATACTTCTTCAGTTCAAACGCCATGATAGTACAGATATTTTGTATTTTACGATTAAGTTTGGCCAGATCGTAGACAAACAGAAGTTCAGTCAAATATTTGGAGAACTTGAGTGATACAACAGCCAATTTCAAGTGCTTTCCCATGTTGCATGTTCATTGTGCTTACTTTGTGATGTTTAATTAATCTACCAAACTGACATGCTTCTGTCATTTTTCTATGCAAAGCCTGCTGGTAAGTGCATTTAGCGTAAAGAACAATTCACCAGGCTAAACGTCTCTGTAGCTTGTTTAAGGTGTGAGCGGTGGCTGTTCTGTGGCGTGTACAGGGATGTGCATGGTGCAGAGTCACCAGCAGCTCCGAGTCTGAACTGTCCCACTGGGAAGGTGCAGCGGGAGGCAGAGTTACCAGTGCTGACCCCGAGTGTTTCAGTTGGCCTCTGAGATTGTTTTGAAACAGGAAAAAACTCTTGGAGTGAAATGCAGTAACTCTACCAGAGCATGCTCACCTTAAATTAATTGTTTCATTTAGTGAATTTTAGGTTGACTGGGAAGCCTTTTGAAATTAAAACTTGTCTTATACCTACATATGATAAATAAAGCTGGATGTGAGAGAGACATGCATTGATGAACTCAGGATAATTGGCAAGAAGGTAGAAGAGGTGTAAGGTGCGTGGGGTCTCTTGGCAAGGTCTTCCAGGATGTGAACGTGAGCAAAGCAAGGGTACATGTTGCCAGTTCAGCTGTAAGGGTAAGTTAGAGACTGGGACAGCATTTCAGGAGCCTCTCATAGAAATTGCTTTCCCATTGGAATCGAGGAAAACCACACCTGAACTATGGTGCTGTGAGTTACAGGGACAGTCTGTCACCCTTGGTCAGTTTGGATCCTAATGACCATCTGAAAATTTGGAACTACTTGTCCTTCTGGGCATATATTCATGTTTGTTTTGTATGTGCAAATGATGTTTAATCAGTGCTGTAACACTTGAGTTGCAAAAGCTTCAGTAAATGTTACCAAAATTACCTTAGACTATGTGAATTAAACCATCTTCTATGAAGTTGACCATACAGCCTGGGAAACAAGTCATCTGTGTCCCCTGATGCGTTTACCGATTTGGGCGTATTTTAACCTCAAAAGCTCTGTTGTCAAATACACTTTCCATCCCTACTCCTCCAATCTGGGTTTACCTAAAATGAAAAAAGGTAAGATAGCTAAAAGCTGTGTTGAATTACGGCTCAAAATACGTGTACTTTGTATTCTGTTGAACTTGGCAGGGTTGGCTGCCTCAGCATCTCCAGGTCTGTGAAGGCCACTGGTCTCACTCTGCGGTGTTAGTATGACTCATTCTTTTCTAAAACCAAAACTTCAGTAGAAAGGAAGAGCAGGATTTAAACCCAGGAAAGAAACCTGATCACTTGTAACATGTGAAACTTTTTTTGAATTGTCAGAAGCAAGTTAACTCTTAACACCAATAGAGAAGTTTGCAGAGCAGCAGATGCAGGTAAGTTAAGTCACTGTTTAAGTGCACAGGCTAACCCCGATTTACTATTTATTCGTGTTGAACTTCTCCTAATGGGGACTCTATTATTTTAAATTTTGGCCAATAGTGTATGGTAGAGTAATATCTAAAGGAAGAGAGAAATGGTCCATGGCTTAAACCCTATGGCAGCAAAATACAGTGGACTCTATGAAACACTGTGTTTTTTGAGGCTTATTTTCATAAGAATGTATTTAATATGCGCTAATGATTCAGTTTAGTCATGTACCAAGTGTAAAGTAAAAAGCCCTGGAGAAGTTCAATTATAAATATTTTATTTAATAATATTGATTACACATGAGATGTCATTCGTTATGAATCTGTGTACAGTTACTAGTTACACCATGACGTGTAGTTAAGTATTTGTTTAAACATTTATTTGGCACTGTCCACAGTATGCTGTAAACAACATTAACTTTATATGCTTCAGCTGCAGTGCTTTCTATGTATTCTCTAACATGATTTCATCAACATGTTGTACACAATTATACAGTTACTGAGTGTCAGTAAAAATTATAAAAACACCTAGAGTATTCATAATAAAAGTGAAGATGTGGTAAGACTTCAACTTACTGGACCTTTGCTTCTGTAAAAGTACAAGACTTGCTAGAGACATTTACTAAAACTACTGCACTGATATGTTGAACAGAGTAATTCCCAAAATGCTGTCGGATACAGTTCTTGGTTTGACTCTCCTCTTGCTGATAATACGCTTACGAGGACAGTGATGACCGTGAGGTTTTGCTGAACACCAGTTTACTAGTCCTTCCCCCCAATTTCTACCACCTCTGTTCAAAAACCTGCTCAGGTTCTGACCAGCTGGCACCAGAATTGTGGTTTCTGTAGAGAGGTTTACAGAGGTATTTTTAAGCTAGCAGAAGTGAGGGTACTTGAGTTTCCCAATACCAGCACTCAAGCTGGGAAAAAAACATGATTAACACTTCTCAAAGCAGGTAAAGAAACCTTTCACATTTTGGTAGCTGTGCTCTGTCTCTTACTATGTACTTAAAAATTGTGGCCAGATCCTAATAGAGTGACTGTAAAGTCCGCTGTGGTCCCTGGTTTTTGGTGCACAACATAAAGTTAAACTTAGTAAGCAAAATTCAGATGCTTGCTAGCCAAGAAAAAAAAAAAACAAAAAACAAACAGAAAAAGGCACCAGACCTAGTTCAAGTCAGCCTTGAGCAAAGAGCACATAGTAAAGAGATGTCCCAAACAAATCTCTGAAGAGAAACAAATTAATGAACTGTTGACACTTTTTGATCCTGTGGCTTTCTAGAAGATCTCTGAAATATCGGTGATTTAGAATAAACTATTAGAACAAAAATAGAATGACTTTGCATTATAAATGTGCCATTTGAACTCGGCCTTCACTGTAGTGGCTCTGATGTCAGGTAATGCCTAAGGTCAAGCAGTTCTGCTGTAGTTTTTCAAACTACCTCAGTATCCATGTAGAACTTGTAGTAGATAAAGTAGTAGATAAAGTAATGACTGTTGTGTGTTATGGGCAGATGGTAAAAACATCAACTCATCCTAGATGCTGGCAGGTGGAAATAACGTGCTTCACAGGATTCTCTAAGCTCTGTCAAGTTACGTACGTCAGGGTATAGTTTTCTCTGTACAAGTCTGATTGTAAGAGAAGTCAAAAGTTTTAAAACCCAGGATGAGGAAAAAAAGTACTTCAGTTCCACTTAGAGCCTGTGGCTGGGTGCACTGGTGCCGCTGAAGCAGGGTGGGAGGCTGGAGGCTGGGCACAGAGAGCTGATGGCATCCTGATCCAGTTGGTGGGTCTGTATTCAAGGGAATACAGCTGGAAGTTATTCGGTAAAATACCACACGTGGCAGTGGTGGAAAGCAGAGCTTTCCTGGAAACACCAGTTTTATTCCAGCTACCATTAGAGATTGGCACGTTCTGTATGGCAGGGGGGTGGCTTTAAGTGTTAGGCTGTACTTGCTGCTTCTGGACACCAGAGTAAATCCGCTGGGATTACCTGTGAAAACAGACTGTACCGGCTCATATTTAGACAATCAGATAGTCAGGGCCATGGATATAGAGAGGACTCTGCAATTAGCATGGCCCAAGCCAGAAGATGGAGGGCCACAGGTCCTAGCAATGCCGAGTGTGGGGCAGCTGTGGGCGCCTGGTGGTGGGCAGTACCACCGCTCTGCCTGGGCCGAGTTTGCATGGAGCAGCTTGCCGTGGGCAGGATTACAGACAGAACACAAACCTTAGTCTATGACTTTTACAGTTATCTTTTAAGTAGAGAAGACATGAATTAATGCAAACTAATTTCATAATCAGCTGTTCACAGTGCAAGGGAACTGCTTTTTACTTGAAGTTTGCTAAGATGTCACTGAAAATGTTCAGAAAGAGGTGTGCGTGATGATCCTTGAAGATCAGTGTTGGACGAAAACGAATCGATCTGTCGCCGCAGCCTCCCAGCACAACACCTAAAACCAGAACAGAATTCGTGCTTCCGTCACTGCCATCTCTGACAAACATCCAGTAACGCGGGTCTCCACAGGAGGGTGACCTCACTGCGGAGGGGCAGCAGAAGCTCCCCAAAGCAGTGCCAACCACACAGCTCAGAGGAACTGCCGGTGCCTGCAGCTGTCCTCTGACACCCGGGCAACGCTGGCACTAACGCCCAGCGGTGCGAAGACTCCACGCAGAGCTCCAACAGCATCCCAGGCTTCAAAGCTGCAACACTCTACTGGTTAAGTACCTCAGGGCCAGAACAAGACACAGTCGTTTCTTTGCAATTTTGGTTTTAAACCACTTCGGTTTGAATTACAAAAAATATCTCAGTGCTGGCAGACTTCTTCCTGCAGTACTTTAAATGAGTGGTATTTTTTTAAGGCCTTAATCAATTATTTCTTTGAAATGTCTGTGGGCAACAAAGATCTGTACTATTAAGCTGAGCTTACTTTGCCTCTAAGCATAGCCTCAGTTGGCCATGACACAGCTTGCCTTCTCTCCCTGCTGGCTTAGTTTCCAAAAACAAAAAATATCAATGTCTTCTACACTCCAAAATTTTGGTTTCACTATAGTTTAGCTGCATCATGCCTGCTTCTTTCAAGAGATACGAGTAACAGCAAAAACGGACAGCAGCAAACCCAGGGCCCACACACAGTTAAATTCCCCTCCTGGTACCTGAACTTGTTACAGCAAGAGTTCTGCAGTACAAGGGGGATGATGTAGACCTGTGCCAATCTGAGGCAACTCATTATAGTTCACTATTAGTTATTCCACAAAACTCATAGTTTTTCTCCCTGTGTTTTCCTGAGTGACAGTTACATTAACTTTCCTCGAATTTTCCTGATCTGTTCCCAAAGTAAACCATCCCTAGGTGCACCTGAAGGTCACCACAGGGCAACATGACAGTGATGTCACAAAAACTCATGCCCTAGATCTCTCCCAGTAATGTTACACCCACTGAGAAAGGTCGATGAACACAACAGAATGTTCTGATGTCCCTGAAAACACAAGTATTTCCAGAGAAGTCTAAATCCAGCTTTCATAATTTTGTTTCTGTCCCCTGGTACCGTAGTACACATACACCATAGGAAAAAGGAAAAGTTAAAGCATCCCACGTGCTACTGTTTGTCATTTGAAGCTAATCCACACACGCAGACTTTCTTACCTTTGTTTCTGGCTATTGTAATTAACTTGTTTCTAGTGGCATCATTTGGAGTGTCAAATGAACAGAATGTTCCTCTTCCTCTCACTCTGCTGATAAGATGGGGGTAACGAGCCTGCAAAGAGAGGAGGAAGTGTGCAGGGGGGCTGCTGCACCACGGGGCCCCTGGATTTCCCACATAACCTGGTGTCCTGCTCACCCCTTTCTGACCAAGGACTGCAGAGCCCAACAGCAGGCTGGCTCTCTCCCTCACAAAGCAGATAAACATTTGAGCAGGAAGTGAGAATGGATTTGCACCCCTGAGCTGGGTCAGGTAGACTCCTGGCACTTCCTGAAGCGAGCGGTAAGGACCTTACATCTAAAATTCACTCCAGGAAAACCTGAGCATAAACAGTCTGGAATAGAGCTAGATACCAGCTCGTTCTCATGCTGTACTAAGACCCTTGCTATTAGTACCTGCTTCACTTACCACCAAATAGAATCCTCATCGTATATAAGAGTAACATTTGGATACTACTAGTTGTATTCTGGCCCTCCACAAAGTATGAGTAATACAATTTTTTGTGTTCTCCTGCCTGCTATGCCTTGAAATTGTGGAGAGAGCAGAGATGGTGTGTGGGTTTATCCCGCACAAAATGCCTTTTGGGAGGTGAGCCTCTGCAAGCCTACCCTTAACTGCCTATCTGATTTTCCTCCTCATGTGCAGCTCCATAGTTGAAGCTGTGAGGAATTTCCCTTAGTCAAGGGAAAGCTACAGTTTTCTTGTTTCAACAGCCCAGTGGAACTGTAACAAAATATGAAGGCACTTTCCTTTAAAAAGAACTTTGGGGCAAATGAAATGCAAATGCTAGCTACGTGTGATAACAGAGACTTCTAGCAAAATTTAACTAGCTGCAGTTCATACCGTCAGAAATTTTGGGGGGTCACCTTTACACTGCATTAAAGTATATTAAACCAGCATTCTTAAGCCAGTAAAAGAAAGTGTATCTCAATTCCAATGGGACACAGCTATGCAGGCTTGCCTAGAAGTACCTAAACCAGCAAGTTATAATTATGGTCTAGTCCCCAGCTGGAGTTCCTCAGTCCAAGTATTTCAACTGGATGAGGCTGGACCCTACCCAATGAGCAAATTTCCCCTTCTTATCTGCAGTCCTTCCAGATGTTTACCTGTAAATCCAGCAGCCCAGTCAGTAGTGCTTTCCCAGCGTGGGTTGCATTGTTTAGAAGGTCTTCTCTTTTAATAACCTTAATGACTTCAGCAAGCATAAGGTTCTTGGATGGATCTCCAAGCCAGGTATTAAAAATCCGATAGGGCTTGGGAAAGCATGGAAAGAGAGTTGTGGAACATGTTAGAAGACAAACCACTATAATAAAGAAAAGCAAGCCATCAAACCAGTAATGCAAACTGGCGTAGGAAAAAGCACGCACTGATCTCACCAACCCCCTTTTTTTTTGTTGTTGTAAGAGCAAAATAGAGCTGCCCTGCTGAGCAGAAACAAAGGGCAACTACTTTATGCTACAAATTTAGTGCTTCTGTCTTGCTGCTCTGACATGTTACTGAAACACGGCAACAGACGACATGGAAACCAGCATCATCTAAGCAGGTTTTACATTCAAGCTTTATGTTCTCCCCTCACCCCCCTTTTTATTTCCATTTATTACATCTAAAATGTCATTAATGTGAAGCAGAAATCTTGCTGGCAGAATCTGTAATTCTGACATACAAGCTCTGAAGACACCAAGTTGTCCTACAGAAAAAGGTGTCAGTCAGTGGTAGGATTTTGTACCGAGGGTTAGTTCATCAGGTGAAACCCGGTTCTCCACTCTCTCCCACCAGCTTTATGGCCTTTGTGACTGACAGCAACTGGGATAACAGTGAAGAAGTGACAACTCTTGTGTAAGCTCGAATCGAGTATCTGTGAACCAGCAGCTCCATCTGGCTGAACCTGCATTACCAAAGGAAAGCTCTTCCATCGGCATGACAGTTCCTCATGGGTCACCAACTAACACAGAGTTCAAGTTTCATTGAAAATCTTACAGCATTGGGCCTGAACTCCTCTTTGTGGAAAAATCCTCCTGTCATCATCTTCTTACTGAATGTTACCACATCAGCTGGGTCATCCAGGCCCCAGTGTTCATGTGCCCAGAATTTTCCTGTGCAGCCACCTCCTGTCTGCACCTCGTCCACCAAGAACGCGCAGCCATGCTGCAGAGACAGACGTAAAGAGTGGGGAACGTGAGCTCTCATGTCCAACACAAACACACCTCCCCGAGTGAACAGATAAATACAAGCCAATCACACGCACCTTCCCTCCTTCCTCTCCCTTCACTGCTCCAAATCTCCCCTCCTCAAGCCCCGTACCAATGCCACTGACTGCGCGTTAGACTTCACGGTGAAAAATTCACCTATTTTTTTCAGAAATGTATTTTCTACCTAAATTCACAAACGTGTTTTTTTTATATAGTCTTCAGCATTTTTACA